CGCTTGCGGAGGTAAGGCTTTGAAGTCCGAGCTCTATAGGAGCGAAGCACGCGTCGAGGGTAAGAATGTCATTTCCCTTTCTCTCTTTTATGTTGTTAATTATGTGATTAAATATTTAGTTGCTTTAATTAGTGAGCGGGTCTTGGGTGGGTTTCTTTTCCGCGTAGCGTTGGACGCTACGAAACCCAACAGCAGTATCGAAGCCGAGCTCATTTTAATTATTGTAACTAATAATTAATTAAGGTGATTTAAAATGGATTTAAATTTCTGGTTGTGCTTTCTAATTGGATTAGAAGCTCGTTTCAATTAGTTTTAATCTCGTATGTTTTCTAACTTTGGCTGACGAACCCAGATTTCGACTCAAAAATAGTGATTTTTGGGTGGAATCGATGTTCTAAATCGTTTCTGACCCTTTTAGCGCTGTCGAGAAGCCAAAATCCACCCAGAAATATGTTTTTCGAGGGGTTTTTCATTTTTGACGAAATTTTTTAAATCTTTTAACCTTGATTACTTATTGTATGTTGAAGGTAGGTTAAATGTATGGTTGCATCCCTAATCTACTGCAATTATAAACCTCATTAAGCATGTTTATGAAGTCATAATTGGTGCTTAATTTGGTATGTTCATTTTTCACATAAACTTGAATTTTTCACATTGTTGCAAGCAAATTGCTTCAAGTGTGAGTGTTTATAGTGAATTTATAATTTTTGAAGTCCCTAATATTTTAAAGATCCAATCTTTAATTGTTTATTTGGTTTGAACATTGATTGCTAAATTCCATGTTGAACTAATTTTGGATTTAATCATTTTTGGGTTGATTAAAGTCCTAAAAGTTCAAAACCTGTTATTGAAATTTAATTAATCTTCATGTTGGAAGATGTAATTGTTCAATTTTTACACAAGTTAAAGTTGGAAAATTTTCATTGATGAATGGGTTTATTTTTCCAACATCCTTAATTTTGTTAAAACTCATTATTAATTTATGTTTGGTTAAATTTATTTATGAGAATAGCCCTTCAATTTTGTAGCATCAAGATAGACCTAAATTGATTTAAAGGATGGTTTGTGAATAATTTAGGCTTGTGCACTATTTAAATTGAATTTAATTAAGTTGGACTTATTTTAATTTTTCATTTTGCTCTAAATTGATTCTAAAATAAATTTAGAATTAATTTTATGTAACACGTATATCGGGATTAAAATCCCGAAATAATAGCACGCAAATCGAGGTAAAATCACCCAAACGCCACCAGGGCTAGCCGAGCTGCACACGCAGCCCACATGTGGCTGCCTTGGTGCAAATGGTGGTGCTCCCACCTCGAAGAGTTGCGGCTGTGTGGAAGGGCTAAGAGTGCGCAAGGGGCATGCTTGAGGCTTGTGGTACGTGGCTGCTGGAGATGCTCGCAATGCTACTGGGCAGCAAGGCAACGAGCCCCAAGCAGGCCCAGCCACACCTACTAGCACGCATGCTAGCATGCGCAGCTTGCTGCGATGCATGCTGGTGCTAGCAGGCGCAGTAATGACTTGCTAGGCAGGCTGCCTGCGCCCAAGCAACGCCCCAGCCGTAGCTATGGTGCAAAGCAAGCCTAGCCCCATGGCTAGGATGCTAGGCACTCGGTTTAGAGTAGGCTGATTTTTCAATGCGTGGGCTATATGTTTTGCAAAATTTTGCCGTTTTAATTTATTTAACTATTTTAACGAGGCTAGGCCTCGGTTTTTCCGGCTCTTGAAAATTTTTAATTTTGACAAAATTTGGGTTAACCGGTTTAATTAATTGGATTATTAAGTTGGATGCGGAATTCAGTGGGAGCTTCGTTAATTGCATGAACTAATTGCGTCTTTCCAACAAGTGTATTATTCCGATAGAGGGTTCAAAAATATTAGAAAGCTAATTCTTCAGTGAGGTTAAGTGATCGGAATGCCTAGGTGAAGGCCGCTTCTGATCAGTAATATTAATGTGTAATTAATATTACAGCTTAATCTCGACTGAACCCTTCAGGTCACACCCAATAAAGTAACCGATCCGAGACGACGAATCAATCCGAAGGATTAGATGAGTCATTAGAGTATTACGAACAAAGACGTCGGATGTCGAGCTTAGAGCGTCGAAACCGAGCGTTGCGAGTCGAGTCGAATTTAGAATTCGATGAGACGAGAAAAATCAACAAGCGACAAGTATGTGCTAAGCCGTACCCTCGCATTGGCCTAGCCATGCGAGTGCTAGGCTAACCTAGGCCACACACCATACCGAGCTTGCTCGCAGCGCATACATGCTAGTATTGCATGCTAGCAGCGCTGGCTAGATAGCTGGTGTGGCAAGGCTAGCATCGCTGGCGCGCTAGGCATGCTAGCATGCTAGTGCCTCGCACATAGCAGCCCTATCGTAGCATCGCAAGGCCAGCAGCAGCACGCAAGTGCTGGGCCTCGCTAGCATCGCTATGCATGCTTGCGCTGTGCATGCGTGCGTGCTAGCCAAGCAACACCAGCCATCGCAATGTGTTGTGCGTGCTTGCCCTGTGTGATATGCGTACTAGGCATCGCATAGCACTCGCACCCGCATCGCATAAGCAACAGCAGCCAGCAGCTGCGTGTGTGCGTAGGCTGGATGGCTAGCAAGCCCAGCCTTGGTGCTAGGCGCCAGCTGGGTAGCCTTGGCAGTTAAGGCAGGCTGCCTGCCAGCCATGCTCAAGCGGACAGCTCATGGTTTGGTGGGGATCGATTCTTGGTAGCTTATGCTTGGGACACGAGCTGCATGGCTATGCTTTCGGTATTCTTTCTGGAGTTGACTGTTTTAGATGCAACTGACTGTATTTGGTTGCGGAGGGCTTCATTTTGTTTGGCCAGGCTAGTGAGTTTGGCTTTAGTTTGGACTTTTTGGGCCAAAAGGTTTCGATTTGGCTTTTCTGCGGGTCCAAGGTTTGGCGGAATGTGTTCATTGCTTCATTGATTTCGGCTATGGTGGAGGGTACTGGTTGTCCAGTCATGGTTAGGTAATTTCCTTGGTTTTTTGGAGAGTCTTTGGCAGGTTAATTGATTATCAGCCGCACAGTGGGTGCCAAATTGTTTAGGCAAATCTTAGTATGGTGGGTCTAGGAATTTTCTTAAGGTTTGAGGGGTAATAACAATCAAGCCTGCAATATCAATAACAATAACCAAGAGCAGCAATAATATAATAAAGAACGAGCAAAATAGTTAAAGGAATAAGAGTTAAAAAGACAATACTGAGTAAGGACAATCTCCTTGATCAGAATAGACATAGAATTCGTAAGTAGCTTGCATACATATTTGAGTATCAACGTACGAATGTGCCTATGAGGCTATTACATAAGCTCTCAGCTATTTATACCTAGGGAATTCTAGGGTTTTACATGTATTTTCGAAATAATTTCAAAGGGGAAAGATCTTCTTTGTTTATTCTTCTATCCTTGCGTGCCTTGTGTATTTTTGGCATGCTTTCCCTACTGATTGGTTAATTGATCTTCTTGCCATACTTATGCTAATCAAGCCGTTTTGAATTGATCTCTAGTTTATTTGGCTTGCTCTTGGATCTTCTGACCGTGCCCTGTATATTTTGGGCTCCTTGGGATTATGGGCCCAACAACCCCCAGCAACAGAAGGGGGGCACTAGAAGCGTTGTGGTTGAGGAAAATTGTGTGAGAATCCATTACCTCCGCAAACTGAGAAGCAAATGACCGACTAGCAGAAGAATTGCTGAAGATTTTGGAATTCCGACATAATCATAGACTCCAAAGGGTACCGACAAAGGTACCCAAGAGAGTACTAAAAAATTTTTCCTCCTTAGAAATGAATTTTTTTCCTCGAAAGACATGATTTCAATTTCCTTCAAAAGACAATGTTTTTCGATATCCTTTGAAAGACAGGGTTTTCCAATCTCTTTCGAAATATAGGGTTTGGGTCTATCTCTTCTTTCGAGGGAGAGTTTTCTTATTTTGAATTTCAGGATTATAGATTTAAATCTTTTGATGGATTGATGTTAAATTGTCTCATTAGTAAACATTTATATTGGGTTGTAAAAGTGATCAAATATTTCAGATACAATAAAAAAAAAATCAAGTAAAATACATTCTCGCAATTATAAAGGATTGTTAGATTGTTTCTCCAACAAGATTGTATTTTATTTTCTTGCGATATAAATAGAAGATGCTTCATAGTACAAGATGTATTCGACAATCATATCGTTGTTATTATGAAGGTAATTATTATATGATTCAATGTGTTATGTATTTGATAATTTCGAATTTCTTATATATTTATATCGATGAACTTTTTAATAATAAATTAATTTAACTATACTAAAAAAGTAAAAATTAAGTTAATATAACACACTCTAATTTAAATAAAAGAAAGAGAGAGTAAACATTAACAACTTGTATGTTTATAGGGAAAAAAGTGGAGGTATAGGGATAAGAGGTGAGAGATTAGTGTATTCTTTTATTTCTTTAAGGGATGAGAATAATAAGAGAGATAGGGATAAAGATAAATATAAGAGATTAAAAGACTTTTACTATTTTTAAAGAAAGAGACGAGGAGGAGGGAGTAGAAAAGTTAATAAGGGTAGTTAAGTAATTTTTTTTTATCCCAATCTCAATTCATGCCAAACAAGGAATAATATCACTTTAATGCTTATCCCACTTATCAATTTCTTATCCTTATCCTTATTTTTATCCTTATCTCTATTTCATTTATTAAATGTCCTATTCTGTAAAAATTATTAATTTTAAACACAAAATTTTTATAGTTAATACTAAGTGAAGATCTCCATTCTATATTCTAAAAAGTAAGTTAAAGAAATATATTTAATAATACTTATATACTTACCTCCGTTTTTTTAGTTGACGCGTATTCCTTTTTAGAAAGTTTATATTTAGTAAACACGTTTCCTTTTTAGGTAAGTTTTATACCTTCCTATTTTTATTGTACCCCACTTGCTTTATCATTATCTCTCCTCTCCTTAATATGTGTGATCAAATTAAACGTGTTAACTAAATAGAAACGGAGGAATATTAGATACACACCTATCTTAACACACCAATTATTGAGTAGAACCGGACAAAGTCTTGCCAAAAAAAAAATTAGCTTGCCGTTTTCCTCATCACATTGTTCTACCACTATAAATACCTCTTAAGGAGCCTTCACTTTTTGTCACCCCCCTCAGTTCTTTTTCTTTCTCCTTTTCTTCCCTTTATTACTTATTTCATATTTAATTTCTAGGATTAGATTAATTTTTCATTTTGTTTTATCTTAAATTTGAGTAAAAAATAAACTAAAATGGCAATAGAACAATGCAATGATGATGAAAGTGTCCAACAAAATGGGCTTGAAGACTTGGAATCACCATTGATGAAGAAAAGTTTTAATTATAAATATGATGATGAATTTGTTGGGAGTGATACTGATGATGGCTCCATTACTATGGTGTTGTTGAGTACTTGTGTTGCTGTTTGTGGCTCTTTCATCTTCGGTACTTGCGTAAGTACTTTTTTTTTTTTAAAAAAAAAATTTCTACTTTAGAATTTTAATTTTGGAAAATTCTGTTTTGGAGAAAGAAATGGTAAAATTTTGATGTGCTTGTCTATAGGAGGATAGAGACAGTGACATGGTCATGATTCGAAGTTAGATCAATGGGATAAGTTTCAAGGAAAAATTGCCCAAAATATTTCCATATTTGGGTCATTTGTTAAAAATAATTCCATCTATGAGATTATTTTAAATAATCTGACTTTAATCTATTTTAAATAATCCCGAGTGATCAGTAACCGATTGAAGAGAGTAATTTAATTTTTATTAAATTTAAATTACACGTGTCACAATGTAATTGTCCAAAATAAAAAATAAAAAAAATAAAATCAAATAGCAAAAAAACCACCACCACCGAAGTTTCAGCCACTACCATCCCCGCCACCACCCAAACCCAGACCCCAGAACCACCACTGCCACCAAACCAGACCCCAGCCAACCCAGGAACCATCGCTACCACACCAGACCCTGGAACCACCGCCACCAAACCAGACCCCAGCCAAGCCAACCCCAAAACCCCCTTCGAAGAATAAAAAACCCACCAAACCAGATCCCATGAAACTGGTTGGGGAGGTCGGCGCGGCCATAATCGACGTCGGAGGAGGATGATGCAGTCGGAATGGGGGGCAGGGAAGGTCGGTGTGGCCTGTTAAGGGACGGGGGACGGGGACGCCGCGTGAGGAAGGGAGGGGATCGGTCGCCACGCCGATACCGGCGCCGGTGCTGTGGTTGGGGGCTGGGTGGCCGGAGCCACGGGAGGGAACGGGCTCAAGCAACTGGTGGGTGGTTTTTAAATTTTTTTTTTCTTTTGAAAAATCTAACTTTTTTTAAAATTTTATTTTTTTTTATCAATCACATGCCGCTATGTATAAGATAACTTGTTATAACAGGTTATATGACCGGTTGTGACCATTTAGAACAGATTGGATATAAAGGTTAGATTATTTAAAAATAATCCAAAAGTGGATTATTTTTTGACCAGACACATCAAAGGTGGGTTTAATCTAGGCAATTTCTTCTATATAATTATATTTTTATTAATTAATAGTCACATTTAAATGATATAAAGAGGGCCTGATCTGATCTAATTCGAATAAAATTAAATGATGGCGAATTAGTGAGTAAAGTCGAAGACAACATATTCATATACTGTTTTTTTTTGGTGCAAGGAATTCATATACCGCGTACCTTAGTGCATTAGCGTTGTGGTCCTTGTAACTTTTGTAAGGGTGATTGTTCAATTAATGGATTGTTAATTAAGGCTATCGGAGCATACAAGGAGAGCATATATATGTCCAGCTAATTATTTATTTATTTTTAATTTTTGAAACAATGTCCAGCTAATTTAATAAGCCTAACTTCAAAAGTTCAAATTGTATACAAATTTAGGAAAAATAAATTGTATGGAGTATTTCGTAAAAAATTGCACATGACGACAAAGTATAAAAAGTTTTTTACTAGGTCGATACATTTAATTTGATTATGCTAAATTTTTTTATATTTTTGTTTACTGAAGTAACAAAACAAAAAATCTATTAACTAGTATTAAAACAAAACATTGCTGACATTATCAAACACTCAAACTATTCTACATGTCATTTTCACACTAAATTTTTTTCCTCCAATTCTCTATATGATGTCACCAATTATTAAATTTTTTTTTTATCTACACTTTAAGTGTATATATTCAATTAACCAAGTTTTTTTTTCCTAAATTATAGTTTCACATACCTAATTTGTTTGATACTGAATTGTAATTTCAATTTTTTATTACTTTCCTTATATATAATTTATTTTTCTTTATATCTAATTATAATCTTCTTATACAATTTAATGTAACATAACATATTTTACAAGAAACATTAATTCTAACCGTGCATCCCACGGGAGTTACCTAGTAATATAAATAAAAGATCTGTAATTTATGACAAAAATCAGATTAAATCTTCATTAATTTTTGTTAGCCACTAGAGAAAATTACATGTTCTCCAAAGATGGGGGCTGGGGGCTGGGGGCTGAGGCTCAGAGTATATGGTATAATACAGCTAAGATTTAATCAATTTGCAGGTAGGATACTCAGCACCTACTCAATCAGCAATCAGGGAAGATCTCAATCTATCAATTGCACAGGTGATTAATTACTAATATTGTTTTGTTTTTTTCCTTACTAGTTGATTGATAATAATCTTGGAATTTCGACAATTCATTTTTATGTTTAATGCAGTATTCAACTTTTGGCTCAATATTAACAATTGGTGCAATGGTTGGTGCTATTACAAGTGGTCGAATATCTGATTTTATTGGTAGAAAATGGGTAAGAATTTTAATGATTTCTTTTTCAATACCTTGTTGTCCTAAATTAGCTGACACATTTTAACATATACAAAGTTTTAGTCAAATTTAATTGACTTCTTATTTTATTGTGCGAAAGTTGATAATGAGTTTTATTATTTCTCGTATTTTTGTTAAACAATGGGAATTATTTTAATATAATTACTGGATAGTGGTATTTGTTTATTATAGTTTGTGGATAATGGATAAAATGTAAGGTGAAAAACTAGTAAAATATAAATTAGTCCATGCCATTATATACAGAAAAAAAAAACTGTGACAATTAGATAGGGATGACTTTATAATTATAAGTAAAGTATGTTAATTAAATAGAGAAAAAGAGTATATATGTACAATGCTTTTGAAAGTTCGACTCATTTAATTTTGAATTTTTATAACAATGCAATATGAAAAGTAAGTCAAACTTTATGAAAAGTAAGTCAAACTTTTTGAAACGTAGGTAACATCTTTCTTTTGGTATGAAATATCATCTCCAATTAGGAGTGACATCTAATATTTCAGCCAACTGAACAAATTTGATTCTTCAGTACTTAAACTTGATTCTATACATGCACTAATTCTTCCCGTGGAAGTTTAAAAAAATCTATTGTATCTTTGGACTAGCCTATTTCCTATATCTCCTTATGTTGCACAATGTGTTTTAGCTATCAAGTAAGAGTCGGTTCACTTGGTAAGACATGTAGCCTTAGTTCCTAGAGAAATTCACGAGGGTTGAGTTCTGATCATTGTTCTCCTTCTTACCTTAAATAAATTGATTTAAACAGGCTATGCGAATGTCAGCATGTTCCTGCATAATGGGGTGGCTTGCTATCTATTTTGCCAAGGTATGCCAATCTCTTTTCTTGCACTTTAATTTCTTAAGAACTTACTACTTCGTATTTATTTTCTAAATTTATACAGATTAGTAAATCTTGGAAAATTATAATTCGTATTTGTTAATTGTTATGCTGTTTTGATTTATATCAACAGGGAACAATGACACTTGACATAGGAAGGCTGTTCAGTGGATACGGCATTGGAGTCCTATCTTACGTGGTAAAAAACAGTACTCTAGTACTCATTAGATGAAACAATAATATCATTTCCCCTAATCTTAGGTAACCATACATTGTATGTAATCCGTTATAATTTAGGGTCATATTTGTATTCCTTTTGTGGCAAAAAAAATTATTTTTTCCCATTAACTTCTAAAGTTCTATAAATCCACAATGACATGCAGGTTCCAATATTTATTGCTGAAATAGCACCTAAAGAGCTAAGAGGAGGGTTTACCACTCTGAATCAGGTATCATCGTACTCTTTGTTGCGAATTCTTATTAATAACCTGGTATAGTGAAACCGTTTTGAGATGCCCCCTCGGGGTCTATCTGCACACACATGTGGCGTATTTGCCTCATCACTTGCCCGACCTGGCCACTTGGGTGTTTAGTGCACACGTTGACTCTTTGAGTCTTCAGATTTGCGGCTGTTCTTTTCTGTATATTCTTGTTGTAAAATTTGTCTGTTTGTTAATTTGGACTATTTTGTAAGATCATTTGCACATGTGTGATTTACTTAAAATTGTTTTGCAGCTTATGATTGTTACCGGATCTTCAGTCTCGTTCTTGATAGGATCAATTATTACTTGGAGAGCTTTAGCATTGATGGGTGAGTTTCTTATCTTCTATAATATTTAATTTATTCTAATCTAAATTTTTAGCGTCGTTAATCAATTTGGTTCTACACTTTCATATTAAAATGGTCTAGTGATGATTAATTATTGGTTATACTTCAAATGAAGGTCTGGTGCCATGCATAGCATTGCTTTCTGGTTTGTTCTTTGTGCCAGAGTCACCTAGATGGCTGGTGAGCATCAATAACAAAATTGCGAAGTCTATCTAGTTTTTGCAGAAACACGTGTCTCACATTGTTATTTGTTTGTTTCTAGGCAAAAGCTGGCCGCCAGAAAGAGTTCAACGTCGCCCTGAGAATGCTTCGTGGCCAAAATGCTGACATTTCTCGTGAAGCAGCTGAGATCGAGGTTGGCCTGTTAAGCAATGTCTTTTGCTACCAATGTGTGCAATGGCTAATCGTAATTTGGCATGAGAATGGATGGAAACTTATTTATGGTTATACTTATTTTTACAGGATTGTCTCATGCTTCATGAAACGTTACCTAAAGGCAGCTTCATAGATTTGTTTCAGAGCAAATACATCCGATCTGTTATTGTAAGACTCAATTTCATTTCTTTTATTAAACCTAAACTTAAACACAACAGCAAATGACTGATTTCTTCTTGATTAATATACATAGATTGGAGTTGGACTTATGGTGTTTCAACAATCTGTCGGAATAAATGGAATTGGATTTTATGTAAGCCAAACCTTTGTCAAGGCAGGGCTTTCTTCCGGCAAGCTAGGGACAATAGCGTATGGTATTGTCCAGGTGCCAATAACCCTTGTTGGAGCGATCCTAATGGATAGATCTGGCAGGAAACCACTGGTCACGGTATGCATCCCCATCTTACGCTAGGATGAGCTAGTTAATTTTTTTTTTTAATGGAAGTGCTAACATAGCTTTGTTGCTATTGTGAAGATCTCTGCCATGGGAACATTTCTCGGTTGTTTTTTCATAGCCACTGGCTTCTTACTTAAGGTAAATAATTGACTCTTACAGACTGCTTCTTGGTCCTTTTAATTTTCTGTATGTAGCTCTTTTCTAATCCGAATTATATTACACATAATTGGTTGCAGAGTTATGGGCTACTTCTAGAATGGATACCGTTATTTGTTGTTGGAGGTGTCTTGGTAAGCTATTCTATCAATCTGAGTACTGTGTTGTGAGATCATATGTTTATTCAACCAATCAACTCAATATTTTCGATCTATCTTATGCTGTGACAGACCTACATATCAGCATTTTCTATCGGCTTTGGTGGTGTTCCTTGGGTTATAATGTCTGAGGTACAAACTTGAATTCTCTCTTTCTTTTCCATTAACCATCATGTAGTAAATCTTTCGAGTTTACCCATTCTTCCATATAATTGGGCTACCTTGTCAATCTAGAGCTCTCAGTATACATTACATATCATTACTTAGTGAATCCGATTTTAGGTTCATTTTCGCCACTGTCTAATGCTTGAGATAGCAGTTTGGGTGAACGGGTAGTGTATGTTTGGTTTCATGTCTTTTGGGGAATTCACAAGATGAATCAAAACTATACTATAGAACAGAAGACAAGATTCGGATACTTTGTATTTGCAATTGAGATTGAAAGACTGACAATTGTTTAATTCCTTTGTACCAGATATTCCCATTAAATGTGAAGGGTGCTGCTGGAAGTTTAGTAGTTCTTATTAATTGGTCAGGAGCCTGGCTAGTATCTTACACTTACAACTTCATGATGAAGTGGAGTGCATCCGGTAAGAAAATTACTTAAGTTACTTGCATCAAGTCAAGCAATTTTCGGTTAGTAGCTCTTTGAATTGGCTAACAGTTTACACCACTATTTTCCTCTTATCTTTTCAGGTACTTATTACATATATGCTGGATTTTGTATATTGACGGTTCTATTTGTGGCAAATTTTGTACCTGAAACCAAGGGGAAGACCCTCGAAGAGATACAAGAGTCTATTAACTCCAAAACCGAAACCTTGGAGTGAGAGCAGATCCGGTTACTTCAGAATCTTCATCAATGGTGATATGGTAGCGAAAGCTTTAAGTGAAGTGTACTCCAAGTACTTCATGAATATCATATCTGAGGAATTTCGTTTGTTATGCACAAACATGTTGCAGACTTGCAGCAATCAGAGAGGAGGGGGGGGGGGGGTGTGGGGTGTGTGGATCAAAATTGAACGTTACTATTGAATAATATTAAAATTGTATCTAGATTCTATAGTATATTAGCTTAGAAGTATTAGCTTAATTAATTTGTAATACTCTATAATAACTTATAAGTTAAATTATCGAGACATCTTTGTCATATCATGGTATGTCTGAGCTCTAAAATTGATCAATGAGATTGACAAAGTATGTCAATAGAGGGGCATTTTGGTAATATATGTGAAAAAGAAGGGTGGATAGTTAAACTAGGGTCATCTATGAAGTTAATATCTATTGGTCTCTTTAATGCCATCCATTATTACCATTTCATTTAAGTTGTAATGTCAATTTAATACTATTTGGTTAAATGATCACTGTAAGTAAGACATAAACATAAGGCAAGAGAGAGAGAGAGAGAGATGGTCACTCTAAACAGATATCGTCGCACCATCATTTTTTCTTCGCATCCACAACCAATTGTTCTTCACACCCACAAACATTTCTTCAATCAATGTCATTTTTTCACCACCATTTAATCTACCATTTGTTCAACAATTAGTTGAATTCCTTCAAAGTTATTTTTGTTCAAGTTTAGTGGTTTATGTTAGTCAATTTGGCTTCATTTAAAGATGATTATCTTAATTTGCCCATTTAATATATGTGAATATGGAGATTGAGGGATAGCTCAAGTGGTTAGAGCTTCCTTTTCGATTCTAGAGATCTCAGGATTGATTCTCTTCCGCCTTTGTAGCTCTCTAAACACCAAAAATATATGTGAACCATGTAGTAAACTAAGAAGTATTGAATCATGCATTTTTAAACAAATGAATACAAGTAAATTTCAACATTTAATACTCAAATATTATAAATTATTGGAGCCAGTCCCATTGATCATCGAGATAAACATATTTTGTTTATCTAATGGTTAATTATTTAATTTGTAAATAACTTGAACAATACTATAGCTTACACATCATGCCGCTATTGCTGAAGTTAACGGCATCTTTCGCCCTCCAATCCGTCAAATGCTTCAGCCTCCATTAAAGTTAACTCCTTATTTCTCACCTTCTTCCTCCTTCCATCGACATTGCAATTACCACTGTTTTTGACATTTTTGACACCATCTTCCATGACAAATTCAACACCACCTTCTATCAACAATGATAGCGGCTTCGTTGCCTAATTAAAACGAAAACCCTATGAAAAAGGTGAAATAAAGTAACCATGTCCTCCATTGACACTTCCATTGAGCTTGATTTTGTTCATTATTGATTTTTCTCCATTGTTGCTTCAGTTTCGTCTTTGTCAATTACTGCAGTAAGCTTCAAGATTTACTGTTCAAATTTTTTTTTTTGCAGTTGTGTGAAGAAGGTAGCCTGTCGTTAGGGATCCCATTTCCTCTATGCCCTTGGCACTTTAAAAGTCTAGGAGTTTAGACTTTTTAAAATGTATTAGGATTTGAATCCTTGACTGTTTGGGAGACCTTGAATTAGAATTGAGTCTATCATTACTTTTTTTTTTTTTTTTTTTTTTGAATAAGAAACTAATAGAGAGTCGCCAATGAGTTTTAGAAAACTCATAAACCTTGTTCACTCCTTTCTCCCAAATAGAGTTCAAGGGATAATTAGCATGACTCATAAATTTACTCATGCCCAAATTGGTCTATGTACTAGTACCATAAATGAGTTCGGGAGCGAGGGTACTAGGAAAACATTATTTTTGATAAGAATTGCAATGCTAGCCATAGTGCGGCCTCTACTAGCTCTTCCTTTTTCACAATTTCATACCAAACAATATATGCAATGCGATACCTAAAACTATGTTAGTTGATTTTATTTACAAACATTAATCACAAAAGGGTTACATTGCAACGAATGTCATTATCCTTTTTATTCCAAATTCGTGAAAAGAACAATAAAGAAACAAGATTAGCCTTGACTTAAGTGATAAAACAACAATTACTTATTCAATTCTAGTCTTTAATTAACGAAAGAATCTATGTGAAATTAATTAGTTTATTTAAAGTGAGCAAACAACACTAATCAATTGATTAAAGTTATTTTATGATAAGAAAAAGAATGATTTAACTAAGTGGTCGAGAATTACCACTTTTTCTTGCTAGATCTTCGCTTAGCTTAGAATGCTGTAGGGAATTTTTCAAACTCAACTTTGAGCCCCACCGTGATCATGCTTTTAGGCATGGTGGCGTCCAAAGGGAAAGAAGCTAGAGATAAAAGAGTCGCCAACAAGTTTTAGGAACTTGTAAACCATTCACGGGTGTGAAGGTTACACCCCATTCACGATCACGGAGATCACTAACTCCATAGTGGTCCGGAACCATGACTAGATATTCGGGGATGATGGTACGGATAATCCAACCTAAAAGAGATTGAACCCACCGTAAATCGACCTGTACTTAATTCTTATGATATTTATGTGCGCTTTTCGATCAACATACATACATAAAAAATCCTAAGTATATTTAATCTACATCGGTTGATTATTAATGCACAATCAAATCTATTATTGGTGATCACTTGAATTAAAATCATATTAAACCTAAATCAAATTATTAATTATCTTATTAAGCGTGATTTCAAATACAATTTCCCTTTAAACCTGAAAGAAGGGGCGTAATCAAGCAATAACAATAAATCATGAATAATCAAGCAATATATAATTGACACAACAATCATCATCATATTAATATCATTAAAACATGATTAGCAAGATCCTAGACATGATACTAAATGGATTAATAACAAATCCTAGCATGTCACTAAAAATCATAATCAAAGTATTATCCTAAACATGATACTAGAAACATGATATTAGAAATATTAGTTAACATCCTAAACATGATACTAGAAATTAACATAAGATTTTAAGCATAATTTCTATATCAAAAGAATAAACATGGTTCTAAGCATAAGATTCAATTAAGTACTTGAATTACTTACTTTGATGCCTCGTATCTCTTTTTATCAAAACAATACACACGTTAGTAAACTTCAAGAAAGATTAAACCAAATAAGTAAATAAAGAATTGAGATATGGATTTGGGACCAAACCCTCAGAACTATCAACCTTCTTTCGCGTCAAGGTCGAAGGCAACTTCGAGGTTGGCTAGGAGTATTCAAAGCTCGTGAAGGAGGTATGGTGTTTGCTTGGGGAAAGTATCAAGGATGTGTGTGGGTTAAGGATAAGGCTAAGAAAAAGAATCAAGAGAGAGAGAGAGAGTTTTAGAGAGGGCTTAGATGACGATTGTTGGTGAATGAAAAGGGGGTGTTACGACCTCTATTTATATGGAAAAAAGAGAGTCGAAGGATCAGAAAAGAGTCAGAATCCGACTCGGAGTAAAACGCTTCTTATTGTGGCGCGACAGGTCCATCCCGGCGCGATGAGCTTATCGTGGCGCAATGGTGCTCTCGCTCAGCGATGGTTTTGAAAAGATAGAATCCGTGCGGAATTCAATTCCCAATCGGATTGGGTTGGGTTAACCAAATATCCGTACATGTTCTATTTTTATTGGGATTAGGATCATTGAAAAATAGATGTTTTATCCGATTTAAAATTCTTAAATCTTATCTTTTCGAAAATAGGATAAATTAGAACCTTCTAGAGGATTCTAGAAGCTCACAATAAATCCTAACGGATTTAGGATTGAAAAGAACCTTCTAGATGATTCTAGAAGCTTGTAATAAATCCTAATTGGTTAAGGAATGGGATTAAGGTAAATGGACCCTCCACATGGTCATTGGGCCGCTAGTAAGGCTTGGTTCGGGCTCAGTTAGTATTTTGGCCATAATTTCTTCGTTATAAGTCGGATTTGGGCTTATAATATGCCGTTGGAAAGCTCTTTTCAAAACCCATCCAACTATACAAGATTTGGACCGAGATCATGGACCAAAATAGACTGGTTTGGACGACATGAAATAAATGATTTTAAGGGACACGAAATGAATGATTTTTGGTTTAAAGGCACAAATTAAATGATTTTGGTTTAAGACATTTAAGGAAAGGTTAGAAATGGTCAAGGCTAATGGGAAATTCACGATACTCTTCAACTCGTCACCTAACTAGTTAATCAAAGACGTGAAAGATACTCATCACTGGGTTTGGTTTTTGGGGAGACACAATCAGGTGTCTACAGAAGCCCCCACTTTGACTGAGTTTGGAGAAACGAAAGTTTCGAAAACAAAAGTAAAAGTAAGTCGAAAGGGACGGATAATGATTCAGACTGTTTTGCGATCCTAAATCACTCTGTTTACGCCGATACCTGCAGAAAGCGTTAGTTCCACAGATAAAAAAGTGAAGAGATATAATGCGTATCTGACACCAGTGTATCGGTGGCTAATATGTTTGGTAGTTTTCTGCGCCTCGAGAAATCCACCGGATAATAATTTTCTGCGCCTCGGGAATTCTATCGTGAATCACTACGCCTCGAGCGATCTACTGGATGATGATCTTCTATGCCTCGGGAACCCTATCGTGAGCTCTTACGCCTCGAGCAACTCACAACTGAAAGGTGACAAGTTTCCGCCCCTCGAGCAACATGTCGTTGACTCCTACGCCTTGAACAGCCTACTGAATGATGATTTCTTATGCCTTGGGAAGATTAATATGAGATAGTTTCCACGCCTCGGGAACCCTATCGTGAGCTCCTATGCCTCAAGTAGCTCACAAGTGAAATTCCATACTGCAGGAATAACGCTAAGTATCCATGCCTTGGGACACAATCACCGACTTCTACGCCTTGAGAAATGTGCAACGATTGACAATTTTCCACGCCTTGGGAAAACTTGTCTGATAATAAAAATTGCAGGTCTCTTGCAACGTGAATCGTCCAAGCCTCTCGATGACATCAATTTTGTTGAATCAAAGTTGTTTTGTTTGAGAACCTCCACATTCTCAGGGAGTACTATCGAAGATAAACTACGCCTCGAGCCGTCTTCTCAAATCAAGGTGACAACCTCCACATCTTAGGGAATGTTTTCAAAGACCACCA